TTGCACAGAGNTGTTATATTTCAAGCAAATGTCTGACAACTTACAGACACCACAATGAAGATTCTAGAGGAGTTGTGTATTGCAAAGATAATAATAATATTTTATCTGGTTCTAAATATATGTCGTTTAAGATTTTTACACAGAGATTAAAGAAANCTAGAAGAGTTGTGTATTGCAAAGATAAACATAATATTTTATCCGATTTTAAATATCTGTCGTTTAAGATTTTTGCACAGAGATTAAAGAAATTATTAAATAGCTCTAATATGAGTAAAAAATAATTACACAAGACTAAAATACCCTTATTCAATACGTATTAAAAAAGAAAGAAATATGAAAGGTATTTACCTTCCACCAAATCTAATGCACTGAAAAGTTAAGGATAAATTTAGAAGAAAAAATATTAATTATATTTTGATTTTATTAAACGACAGATATTATGAAATAAAAAAAATTATGTAAAATAACAAATATTTAAAAACGAAAAGAATAATAATTATGCCACCTATATNTAAAAAATAATTACACAAGACTAAAATACCCTTATTCAATACGTATTGAAAAAGAAAGAAATATGAAAGGTATTTACCCTCCACCAAATCTAATGCACTGAAAAGTTAAGGATAAATTTAGAAGAAAAAATATTAATTATATTTCGATTTTATTAAACGACAGACATTATGAAATAAAAAAAATTATATAAAATGACAGATATTTAAGAACGAAAAGAATAATAATTATGTCACCTATAGTAATTATATCACCTCCTTTGTCGTTAGAGATAGCAGTGAACTGAAAAAAATTTTATACATTTGCCTAAATCTGTTCTATTTAGGCTGAAAATAGATTATATATATTAGATAGTAGATATATATATAAATACTAATACAAATACGTGCATATATGTAGACCAAGGTAAATTGAAACTCATTCACATCCCGCCTCGGCCCCGCCCTTTCCTAGCCCGTTAAACTAGTAATATATGCATTCACAAATTTCGACTGGATTCGTAGTCTTACCTTTCACCAATTTTTACTATCCCCTCATTTTTCAATTGATACCAAACGGTAAAATATCATCTCTCCTCGTCAATTTTCCTCTATTTATTTTCCATTCACTCAACTTTTCGCCAAACCAAACGAAGGGTAAATGCAATCAAAAAGCCGTCGTCTTTTTGTAATATAGCTCCTTCACCAGATGCAAATCGGACGAGTGTGATGGACGCTCCATTCCAAATTCAAATAATAGCCGAGAATCCAAGGAACGGTTAAAGCTGTCCGTGACAGAAATTCTTTCGCGCGATTGGCGCGTGAGATTTTCACCAAGTGTGTCTCTTTGGCGATGTCTTGTCCCACTTTTTTGTTCTCTTTCAGATTGATCCTTCAGCGTCACCACCGGTGAGACGTGGTCAGTGTCCCACGTAGTTTGCAACGTGTTTAATGTTGAGATTTATTTAAATGCTGATTTTTAATTTTTATTTTTAAAAATTAAAAAATTTTAAATTACACTCTCAATTACATAAAAATCATAATACTTAAAATTAAGTAAAATACAAACAAATAAGTATAGAAATAAAAAAATGTAAAGACTATAAATCCAAACATGTGTCACATGAAGAAACATATTTCTTATTTTGGACCACAATATTATCTTTTTGTTTAATTGAGTGTACAATTTAAAATTTTTATTTATTTGATGTATCAATTAAAATTTGAATATTTTTGAGGGTGTAAAGTGTCACTCACCCTAAATTATATGTGATTGTGCATAATAAAATTTGCTTCGTATTTAATCAAATTTATATTAATTTATTAAAAAATTAAAGAATTTATCTATTTATTTTTCAAATTTAATAAAATTGAGTTCAAATTGCTTAATTTTGTTTATTATTACAATCTAAATAATAGAAAAAAGAGTAACAATGTAGTCTAAAATTATACATTTGTTGCTTTATTCTATGAGTATTTTATTTTATATTTTTATGTGTAATTATTTTTTATATTACTTATTTTTGTATTTTTTTTCTGTGCAATTATTTGTTTATTACTTAAATTCAGCATTTTTAGGTATAAAGTATAATTTTTCCTTGTACTTAAAATAACCGTGCCTCGGCCACCTGCTCGCAGTGTGTGTGGGACACCGTAAATGAATGACGTGTGAAAAGGGTCCAAGAATCTGACACTGGACCTACCCATCCTTTCCCCTCACAAGCTTCCCTCTTCCGATCGTAGCTCGACCGTTCTGACACCACAACCCGTACTTTCGACGTTATAACGTCGTAACCGACACCGTAACGGCACAGTACTCAGACCGAAAGGAACCAAAAAGGTGCCAGCTGCCATTTCCGACACCCTAAATACCGCCATAAATTGACGGATAAAACTATGCTGCCAAAATTTTTAGTTTGGTATCATACAAAAATACACGGATAAAACTATACTAGAATTTGTATTTTCATCTCATTATTTTAAAATTTAGAAAAAAATTGGAATAATAAGATTTTGCAAATATTTTTAAAAAATACTAAATAAATAGTGATTAGTTATGAAAGAATTTATTGGATAGTTGGTAAAATGTGATTGGATAAATGTTTGGAAAAATTTCAGACACATCTTTTTTAGTTTATCATATTCTCAAGAACGTTCTTTTTTATTTTTTGAATTTTTACTGACGCCCCTTGTCAAATTAAAGGTCTTAATTAGAATAAAATTTTATTAAATTAACCATGATATATTTTAAGAAAACTTTCATTTATGCACTTTCTAAATATGCATATCTTCAATGAAACCCTATCTTTTCTATGAATTTTTTTACATATTAAAAATTGGACCGATTAAAAATTGATTCAAGTCAATTAAAATTTATTTTTAATCTGTTGAAATCAAATTTTAATCAACTCGTATTAAATTTTAATCAGCCCCAAATTTAATACATAAAAAATATAAATTTTAATTGACATAAATTTTAATGCATAAAAAATAAAAACTTGAATTTTAATTGGCATGAATCTTAATGAATAAAAAATATAAATTTTAATTAAATCAAATTGAATTTTAATTGTTGCTAACATATTAGGTTGAATTCAAATCTGCTCGAATTTTAAGACGTAAAAAAATAAAATTTCATTAATTTGAATTGAATTTTAATCGACTCAAATTTTAATATGTTAAAAAATAAATTTTAATCAACTCGAATTTTAATATTTTAAAAAATAAATTTTAATCAAATTTATGTAGAAAAATTGTTTGGAATTTATATAAGAAAATTTTTGGTATTTTAGACGAATTTTTTTTTTCTATTAAAAATGGTGGTTTAAATAATAAAGGAAGTGTCTTTAAAGATATGGTATACTAGAAGGAATGTGTCTAAAATTTTTCCTAAATGTTTTTACTTGTATTTAAATAATTCAAAAAATTATAAATTAAAGGAAAAAAGAGGAAAGACTTATGAAACAGTCTCCTTAAAAAATAATCTTTACAATAGTATAGATAGATTTATTCTTGATTATAAGTTTTATTTTGAATTATTTGTAATTATTAATCAAAAAAATTAATAAAGTAAATAAAATAATAAAATTTTGCACATTTCCCTATATAATTGAGGGGAAAAAAAGTATAAGAGTAAAAGATTATTTGCGAGAAGAATAGTCCAAACCCAAATACACATATCCATCCATGTTGGCTATGGGTTTGGGGTCCTTTGTGGTAAATAGAACCGTATCCAAAAAAATAATCATTACTTTGAATATTGAATTTATTTTTCCTATGAAAAGCATAAGATCCGCAAATTATATTTTTCATCATAAGTTATATTTATGTAACAAGTTAAATTTATATTCTTTCCATAACTATATCGTATACGTTGACTTTTACATACATAACATGATATGTTGTAGTAGCAATAAGATTTAGTCTCAATCTAATCCTAATTGCTTTGTGAAGGCTTAAGTTGTGTATAAAAATACCAATCTTGTAAATTTGACAAAGAGATTCCCTTGAGGTCTAGATTTAAACATGATAACTTATATTAAATTCATGATAAACTATTGAACATTTATTATGATTAAATTTTTTTAACATTGATTGAATTTCAAGGAATATGGATTGTTCAATAATTTTGAACATAGTTTATTTCTATGTTTCTTCTAGTATATGTTTTCTTTTGCTTTAATTGTACTAATACTCATTGTACCTATTTAAGTTAATATTACTAATTTTGAATTAATTGTGATACTAAAATTTATTTTTTGTTATAAGAATTTTTTTTTGTTCAATAAAAAATAACACGTAAATTAAAATTTATGATTATCCCTTAATTTCAAGAAAAATAATACTTGGATTTGATTTGATTAATCATAGTCATTAAATAGATAATAAGTCGTAATAAATATTAAAATTCATAATTAAATCAATAACAAATTAATCAAGTCAACATTTTAAATTGATATAAAATTATTCTAATTTTCGAACATTAATACTATTGAGACATAATTGAAGGACATAATTTTATGGACAAAATGAGTTGTCACCAATAAAATGATAGTGAAATACAGTTAATGATGAGTTACATTGTAGTATTAATGAATTCATTATCATATTATTAGTGACAATTTATTATATTATCAAATTATGTTCCGTTTATTTACGAATGATATTGAAAGATATTTTATGGTACGGCGGCGGTGTCTGAATTTATCTCGATATATTGTCGGTTACTCTTGAGATATGAATTGCGATATCCCACACCGTACGATCAGGCGAGACGTTGGTTGTTGTACAATCACTTTGGTAACGCCACGTGTGAGGTTTACATTCGACAGGTCCGACGGAAATAACGCCGTTGGGCCCTTCTGCTATCGTAACCTAGCTGTCTCGCATTTATTGGTTATTTTCTGCCGAATCTAACCCTAGTTAAGCAAGCTAACCACACCATGGTTAACAAACGATCAAGTGTTTTCGTACCATTACTCGCTATTTTTGTGCGTATAGGCACCACCGACGACGCGGTGTGTGTCCTTCTCTCTCTCTGTCTCTCTCTCTCCGTCTCCTCATTTTCTTACTCGTACGTTATCGTCGCCGGCCGCCGACGTTCTCACAGCCCGGCGACACTCTGTCCATCCGCACACCGGAAAAGTGTTCAGATCTCCGTAGACGCTGCATTTATTAGCAAATCTGGCCAACCGCTATATCCGTGTTTCTTCGGCAAAAAAAGAAGGTGGTTGAGAATTTCAGTGGGTCATTGATTCGCTTGTGATCGAAGCTTTTGGTTCATTCTTTTGGGAATGTGCGTGGACTTTAGGGTTTTGTGTGCTGTATGAGGAAAGAATCTTCGGAAAAGCGTCAAAAATTCGAAGATTTTGGTTCATTTCTAAACATAATTCACTCTTAATATTGCCTTTTCTGTTGAAATTCGAATTCGACTTCGGATCGAGTTGGATTTCCTTCCATATTAAGCATTTTCGTCTTTGGCGTAATTTTGTTCGCAAGGGCTTGTCGGTGCTATCGCGATCGATTTGGTGCGATATTTGGGATTTTGGGTTATTTTTGGACCGATTGGTGCACGTTTAAGGCATGTTTTGCCACTATTTTGATGAGGTTTTGCATAGGCAAATTTATTTGTGAAATTGTAGATTAGATGCTGTGGAAAAGCTAGGGGTTGTGTGTGTGGATGTATGGGGGGAATTGGAAGATATGTGCAGAATAGTTGTAAGTGAGGAGAGACAGAGGAGGTTGAAGTGGATTAGTGGTGGGTTAATGGGGTTTAAAGTGAGTGGTAGAGTTGAGAGATTAAAGAGTTCTATGGTACTGTCATCGCGGTCGAGAATGAAGCTGTGGATGATAAGGGCCACAACATCAGTGTTGTTGTGGACTTGCTTGGTTCAGTTGACTGCCTTAGGCGAGACTTGGGGGCCTAGGGTTCTGAAGGGTTGGCCCTCTTGTTTTTCCCATGATTCCGCTGCTTTGGATGTTAAATCCGCACTGGAAATTCCGGTCAGAGTTCTTCCACCAAAGAGTGAGTTGCTTTACTTGCTTTGTTCCTTTTCTATTTTCGTTTGGTTTTCTGTATCTACTATAAAAAGCCAAGCACACGTATTAATCTTTACAATAATTAGTGTAAGAAATAAGGTAATAAAATAAAACCATATTTCTTGGATTATAATTATTTGCCTCTATATTAAATGTGGAGAAAAAGTTGTCTTTTGTAGTTGAGACTACGTAATGGTATGCATGAATGCCATAATTCTGGGAATTTTTGGAACATGATCCATTCATTGTACACCATTGGAGTTCATTTTGTGGTTTCCTTTTCGAAGATATTGAAGAACACATTGGCATATTCCAGAAAGACCTGAAATCATAGTGTTCTTTTAGTTAAGAAGCTTTATTAATTAAAAAAAGAATGGAAGTTTACGAATCAAACTCACTGGAGGACAAAGCATCCCCTGTTAAGGATCCAAACAGCAAATAAAGAAAGAATACATAAAAAATTGCAACCATATCTGAACTGCAATCAACACAACGATCCCGCAATTAGACATTATTTATAAAGAGGAAACTCATCAAACTCCTTTGTCACTGACACCTCCTAAGATGTTGGAAAGTGATCTCTATTCCATTAGCAATCATCACGTGCACTACTACCTTCCTATTTAATGGTGTGTCTCTCCTACCAAATAAGCGGAGAACACCACGGTTCACACTTTTAATGGATAGATGCTTGTTTATGCCCTCCAGAACTCCCCAGTAGTCAACTTCCCAAACCATGCTCTTTTTCTCTGTGCTTATTTTCTTTATTGGCTTATCTCTAATCTTGTCCATTCTGATCATGCTGCATTGTCGGTCAGGGGTTTATAAGAACAATGGTTACCTGATGATTTCGTGCAATGGAGGGCTTAATCAAATGCGGGCAGCGGTTAGTAGTTCTCATTATATTAGGCATGGGCTTATGATTTCTTTTTGGTTTCGGACTCCTTGCCTTGCTAAGGTATAAACAGTTTCTAATTAGTTTGATTCTTTTGTTTGCTGTCCAGATTTGTGACATGGTTGCAATTGCTAGATATTTAAATGTGACACTTATAGTTCCCGAGCTTGACAAAACTTCTTTTTGGGCTGATCCCAGGTTTGTCAGTTCATGTTCATGCATATATTTAAATCTACAATGCTTTCTGTGTTCTAAATTTAGAATATGTGCAATGGTTATTGATGTGGCAGTGAGTTTCAAGACATATTTGATGTTGATCACTTCATTACATCCCTGAGAGATGAGGTTCGGATTTTGAAAGAGCTGCCTCCTAGGTTGAAGAGGAGAGTGGAGCTAGGAATGGCCTATACCATGCCTCCTGTTAGTTGGTCAGACATTTCTTACTATCATAATCAGGTTTGTTGATAATCATTATGTTGCTTTTTCTGCATCTCCTTCATTTACACTTCTTTTTTGAAGTAATGGTTTTATTTCCCTTTTTTGAATGCAGATTCTTCCCCTGATACAGAAATATAAAGTTGTCCATTTAAATAGAACTGATGCTCGGCTTGCCAATAATGATCAGCCCCTTGAGATTCAGAAGCTTCGATGCCGAGTGAATTTTGGTGCTTTGAGATTCACTTCTCAGATAGAAGAGTTGGGTAGAAGAGTTATTAAGCTTCTAAGGCAAAATGGTCCATTCATAGTACTACATCTCAGATATGAAATGGACATGTTAGCTTTTTCTGGATGTACACAGGGCTGCAACAGTGAAGAGGTGGAAGAGTTGACAAGAATGAGGTGAGTGAGGTTATTTATGTCAGCTATTAGGCAGTGTAAGACCAATAATCTGTCATCTATCCTTGTGTTAACTCCACATCCTTGCAATTGCTAGATATGCTTATCCTTGGTGGAAGGAGAAGATCATAAATTCAGACTTGAAAAGGAAAGATGGTATGTGCCCTTTGACACCTGAGGAAACTGCTCTTGCATTAAAGGCACTAGACATTGACCGTAATATCCAGATTTATATTGCTGCTGGGGAGATATACGGTGGAGAAAAGAGAATGGCTACTCTTGCAGCAGCTTATCCAAGATTGGTCAGTAGACGAAGCTCAAACTACTCCTTAACCTTTGTAACTTGGTTATCTGTTTTCTAGCCTTCGTATGTTGTTTCTGAATATGTTGTAACAGGTGAGGAAGGAGACACTGTTGGAGCCATCAGACCTTGGGTTTTTTCAGAATCACTCATCTCAGATGGCAGCGCTGGATTATCTTGTATCACTAGAGAGTGATATTTTTGTCCCCACATATGATGGAAACATGGCCAAAGTTGTTGAAGGCCATCGGAGGTATATATTGTCATTGTTGCACTATTTATTAGTTTTGTTTGGTTAGACAATTTTGGCACTGAAAATGTTTTTAGTTCGGAGTTGCGATAATTTTTTAGGTTTTGTTGCCCTGTAAATCTTCTAGATATTTTCAGAGATTATAGTATGCTAATGCTGTCTGGAATTATGTTTATTTTACCCATACTGCAAAACATTTGCTAAACCTTGAGTTTTGTCTCTGCTATGGTTAGTTGTCATTTAGCAGAGATTTTTTCTTAATTGACTTGGTAGGACTTAGGAGGGTTGTGCTAGTTAAATTTGAGAGTGCTCTCACTATGCCTTTTTTGGGTTCTGGTTTCATTGGTGTGTGCTTGCTTCTCTTCTTTCTCCCCCTCTCACCTTTTCTTGTGTGTATATTTGAATCAGTTGTCTATCATATAGAGTATTTCATCTGAAATGAGCATTTGTTTCTTCACATTTCTTTTCAGATACCTTTGGTTCAAGAAGACAATACTGTTGGACAGAAGGCTACTTGTTGATTTGATAGACCAATATAATAGCGGATCTCTTACATGGGATGAGTTTTCTACTGCCGTTAAGGAAGCTCATGCAGAACGCATGGGGAACCCCACTAAGAGGCTGGTAATCCCAGACAGACCGAAAGAAGAAGATTATTTTTATGCCAACCCAGAGGAGTGTTTACAGCCATCTGCTGAGACATTGAGTAGTATGTGACCCTGGTTCAAAGGTTGCATTTTGATCAATACCCCCCACAATGCAATTGTGCGACAGATTAGAGACTATGGTTCTCTACCCCACATTGTCACAAAGGAGGATTTTGTTTTGAGGAGATATTCCTGAAGTCAATGGTTGGGAGGTGCGCTTCGACAAAGCCCAACAGCATCCACAGATATTACTGTTTTTATATATGAAAATAATCCAATTCATGTATAGAAGCCACCCTGCCATTACAAGGGTTATAACTACTCAATTGCAGTGTACACATGGATCAAATACAGTTTCAGCTTGCTGAAAATTTAGAATTTTGAAAAGGTCTCTTCCACAATTTGCGTCCATTGGTTGGTGCTCCAATCAGTAGGTTGTTGGAGGTGGTCTGATTAATTTTATAGGAAATAAAGATGTGACAAACATGGGGCACACCATTATTTGATTGGATTGACCTTTGAGATGGATGGTTAATACAATATGCTAATGACATTCAAATCATTTTATTCATTCTGCAAACTCATATTTTATAGGAAAATGGATAGCGTTAAAGTTCATTCGATGTATTTGTCAGCAGAGAAGGATTCCACATAATAATACCTTGAGGAATAATATCCTTCGGGTTGTCGGCTCAACCTCTCTCCAACCTGAGATCACCACGATGGTGATTTCTATTTTTCTTCGGATTTACCAGGTCCATGTGTAGTGGACGAGTGTAATGACGTGTATGTGGCGGCTCTAGGGTTTACTTGGCTCTATTATGAGTTCGTGATCATATATTTATTTAAGAGTTCGATTGTTTAATTGAATAATTTGGGGATTTAAATGTATTATCATCAATCCATTGATAATCTAATGGCTACAATCATTAAGTTTTCAAATTATGTTTTTAAATTATGTCTCAATAATATTTCAAAAAGAAACTGATTTATGTGGAGGTCGGCTGATAATGATATTATGGTGATAAATACAAAAACAAAATAGACGGGCCCCAAACGGATAAGAATAAGTCACTTGATTTTTTAATTAGCAAACATTTGTTACGGCGCCTGGTCATAATACCTTACATCAATTCCAATTGTGTTATTATTGGTGGCTTCTCTTTTGTTTTTGTTTTGGAGTAAAAGACTAGTATCAATTGGCAAGGACTGTGCGTGCAGGATCCTGCACAATATAAAAAACGAGAACAGATCTCTCTCTTGGTGAACTTCGAGTGAGCCAGTTGAGTGACCAACCACGCTGTTTGAAACAGCCTGCGAGGTCCGGTGGTNCCTCCGTGATGACAGGGAGCTTGTAACTCGAGACTCCTTTGGTGGGGTCCTTTCCCTTTCTGTCGAGTGTTCACCATGGTCACTGTTCTTTATAGAGAAAAAAACTAGGAAAACTAGTCGTTTCCCACAGACGGCGCCAGATTGTGCGTGCAAGATCCTGCACAATATAAAAAACGAGAACAGATCTCTCTCTTGGTGAACTTCGAGTGAGCCAGTTGAGTGACCAACCACGCTGTTTGAAACAGCCTGCGAGGTCCGGTGGTAACCTGGAACGGCAACGGAAGACCCTGGGAGAGTGGAAGAACGATCCAGTAAGGCTGAAAGAGGTTCTTGGAACAAAGAAGAACAAGTTAGAAGGGCGCCGGAGTGTTTTCCGGCGTATCCCTTCCGACGATCTAGTCAGTCCTTGAGAAAAGAGAGAGGAAGGAGAAAACACTGAGTGTGTATTGTAGTAAAGAGTTTTTTTTGCATACCCGTCTTGCCTTTTGCAAGGAGTATTTATACCTCAAAAGCTTATAATTGCTGTCAGTGTAGTCAGTAGGTGATCATTAGGTACAGGCAGTGTGTGTACTGATTCTGATGACGAATGTCTTCTCTTCTTAACTGCTCGGGGTCCCGAGCAATCAATGCTGGGTCATCGGGATGCCGACGGTACAATGTACTCCTCTCGGGGAGGATGCAATAAATGCTCTGTATTAGGAGCATTTATTGCCTTTCATTTTCGAGCCTTACCGCATTGAATGCGGTCTCATCAAGGGAATGGTGTAATTAATAGTTTGCTTTCCCAAGTCGCGTGTCAGTAACGGCATGCGGTTTCTCTGTCTTCGATGTGATATCATACGCCACGCGTCCATCCCCTATTGGCTGTGACCCCTGCATTCCAGTACGTTCTGACACTAACTGTATAAGACGAGGTCATGATGAATAGCCTAGACTATCCTAAGCTAATGACCTGTACGTCAATAGCTTATCCTGGATTAGAGGAGGCGTCCAGGACAGGGTACACCTCGGCACCAAGGAAAGGCTCATCTCGGAACCGAGGGAGGGATACCGACCGAGGTACCATATCATACCGAGGCCACGTGTCGGTTGTAAAACGTACTGAATGCCATGATCCTATATAACGAGTACCTCGGGGGCGAGGACCTTTATGCGTCGATGATGCTTGATCTTATCAACAGTGTTTTAGTAATACCGAGAACACGTGTCTTCATCATAGAGTATTTCAGAAAAGTCCCATCAAGGACCATGACCTTTATGAACATATCGCTTTCATTCTAGCTCAAACACTATCATAAGTGAACTCAAAACAAAAAAAATAATGAAGAGAAGGGTGAATCCAGCCAGAAAGGATCAACCTTACCCCGGTCAACAATCTGGGTTCAAAGTTTGAGTCTCACATCCTACTTGGTTGGACCACTTAGCCAATAAACAACAAGTTTTCAGCGACAAAAATAAAACCAAGAGGGACCAGTGATGCACATAAAGACACACATGGTTCGATGCATCATAATTCAGTATAAGGAAAATTCATTTACTAACCTTTTCCACCCTTTTCCGAACAAAAAATCAAGGATGATTGGATCTTGTGCTATATCAAACCAGGATTTTGCCTTTGTTTTTGTCTCTGATTGTCTGTCCTTTGAAAATAAAACCCTAGATTATCATTCCCCCCCCCCCCCCCCCCCC